CCTCGCGATAAGACGGCCGAGGCGAAGCAGCGCCGCATTGACCTCTTCAAGAAGTTCGACAAGAACGACACGGGCAAGCTGTCCTACGATGAGGTGTACAACGGCTGCATTGAGGTGCTGAAGCTGGACGAGTTCACTCCGCGTGTGCGCGATATCACGAAGCGTGCGTTCAACAAGGCGAAGGACAAGGGCAGCAAGCTGGAGAACAAGGGCAGCGAGGACTTTGTTGAATTTCTTGAGTTCCGTCTGATGCTTTGCTACCTCTACGACTACTTCGAGCTGACGGTGATGTTTGACGAGATCGACACTTCCGGCAACATGCTGCTGGACGAGAAGGAGTTCAAGAAGGCCGTGCCCAAGCTCGAGCAGTGGGGTGCGAAGATCGAGGACCCCGCGGAGGTGTTCAAGGAGCTGGACAAAAACGGTTCGGGTTCCGTGACGTTTGACGAGTTTGCTGCGTGGGCTTCGGCACGCAAACTGGACGTCGACGGGGATGTGAGCTGTCTATGATTTTTTTTTTTTGGGCGTTTGTGTTCGAGATTTTGTTTTGGTGTTGCTTTTTGTGTGGTATTTATTTGATTTGCGGAGGCGTGTGCTTTTTTTTAAAAAATTGTTTGTGTGCTTTTTTTATTCATTTGGTTGGTGGTCTGCAGAGGGTAAGAGTGGGGATGGGGACTTGTATGGGAACGTGGAGGTGCTCGTATGTGTGTCGGGGAAGGGGAGGGGGTAGTGCTGTCGCGTAATAATGTAGGTGGGTGTTGCTGGGTTTTGTCGCACGGATGACTTTTTTTTTTATATCACTTTTTGCTCGTTTGCAGTATGTGGGCGTTGTACTGCTTGCCCTGCTTCTTCGTACGTTGCGTGTTTGAGCGGTTATGTGTGGATTTTGTTGGCTGCTCGCGCTCGCAAAAAAGTATGCTTTTGCAACGTAGGGGAGGTGTGTGTGGGCGGGATGGAGCAGAGCCTGCGGGAGCGCGTTCTTTCAGTTCCAACGTCTCCTGCAGGCGTGAGCTGTTTCAGCTTCTCTTTGCCGGAGACCATACACAAGCACGGACGTACCAAACTGCTGCAATGCTTTACTGTTTTGTTTTTTGTTTTGACGTCTCCTTTTTTTTTTATTTGCTTTTTTCCCATTATATATTTGGAGGTTATTATCTCAGGCTTGAGGTGAGGAGGGGGGAATAAATGCAGGGGAAGCACCGACGCTAGAGCATTATTTTTGCAGATCCACAACGCGTGCACGCAGGCAGGGACCATGATGCAAACGTGCCGGGGTGCACCGCACTTCTCTCATTGTCTTTTTTTCACTGTGTGTTTTTTTTTTGAAAACTCTTCCTGCCTCTTTCTTCCCACCTTCCCCTCCACTCCACTCCCTCCGTGCGTTTGGGCATGCAGCGGAGAAAAAGGAAAAAACCAAAGGAAGAAGGGAGTCCCCCTTTGCTGTTTTCCACGTTTTCTGCGAGCGTGCGTGCAGTTGCCACTGCCCTGCAGCTGTTAGTGCTGGCAGACCTTGCTGCTTGCTGCGTCCTGGGTGCCGGTTCCACTTCCCCCCACCACGTGTGCTGCCTCTCAGTATGGGCTGCTGTGGCTCGAGGGAGGATGTATGTGGCCAGGTGTACCTGGAGATGCTTCGACGGCTTAGCGTCACACCGGCACACACCGATAAGGCCGCCGTCGATTTGAGACGAAACATCGAGTTTGTGAAAATATTGGGCATGCGTGGAGGCGGCAGCGAGGATGCTGAAGCAGTGCAGTGTGCAACGGTGGAACAGCTTCAGATGTTTGACCGCGAGCAGTGGAAGTTGTCCTCGATTCACGCATACAACGCTCAACTTCTGCTGGACGCCGCAGAGGACATCTGCCGCTATCGCAACCCACATGCCAACAATACTCTTGTTGCTTTGCATCGATGCGACTACAGCCCGTGGTTGCTGTACATGTGCGAATTCTACCATGTGATGGGCGTCTTTGAGAAGGCGAAGCTGCTGTCGAAGGGGACTTGGGAGAAGGCAAGCATTAGTGCTGCAGGCCTCACAAAGTGTCTGACTGCCTTGAAGACTGAGTTTGCGTCGGCCTTTGCGTCAAGTAGGGGGCCTGGTGCTGCTTTTAACCCGCCCTCTTCGGCCACGTCAAGCGCGGTGGTGGAGCAGGTTTCACGGTGGTTTCTTTATCCCTTAAGCGTCAGCGGAGACGACGGAGCAGCGTCGGAGCAGGTCATTACGCTGGTGGCGGTGGTGCGTTGGCTGGTTTTGCGGCACGTGGTGGCGATGTGTGATGAATACTCCGCTTCTGCAACAGAGGCGCCCATGGACGCGAAGATGGGAGTGGAGAGTGTCTATCGCGGGGAAAAAGAGCCAGAACCGGAACCAGAGTCGGATCCAGTGCTAGAGCCAGAGTCAGTGCTAGAGCCAGAGCCAGAACCAGAGCCAGAACCAGAGCCAGAGTCAGTGCTAGAGCCAGAGCCAGAGTCAGTGCTAGAGCCAGAGCCAGAGCCAGAGCCAGAGCCAGAGTCAGTGCTAGAGCCAGAGCCAGAGCCAGAGCCAGAGTTAGTGCTAGAGCCAGAGCCAGAACCGGAATCAGATACTAAGATGAAGCGATACTGGGGTGACGCGTTTGCGAGTCACAAGTTATTTCTTGTGAATGCGTTGGAGGACCCTTCGCAGCTGGAGGTCTTGTTTTTAGCCCTTACACATGGAACCAGGCAACTTTCAGAGGCGGATGCTACAGCAGGAATGTACGAGCACTTTGAAATGGGGGATATGTTTGAGGACCAATGCGTGCATGATACGCTGGTGCGGGTTGCCTTCCATGTGGTGGCGCGCGATTTTGGCGACGGCACCGCAAGCATCCGTAGCGTGTCAACTTTTGGTCAATTCCTGCGGGCGTATCTCGCGGTGTTGGGGCTCTACCACGAGACTATGCTATGCGAGGGCATGGCCGCTGGCACCGAACCCCGGTACGGGGCATCGGCCCCAGACTTGAACAGGGGCATCCTGACGCAGGTGCTAAAGGCCATGGGTGATGGTGATGCTGGCGGAGGCGGCGGTGATGCTGCCTACGACAACCGGGTCGACCATTTTGTGCATTCCGTCTTTGGCAGCGGCAATGACTCTCACCAAGTTCCGTTTCTGGAAATTGCCGACCCATGGGCCGCATTGCTGTTACAGGAAGGAAACAAAGACAAGTTAAAAGACATCTCTGAACTGTTTCATGCCCTTGGGCTTAGTGATAATAGCGGACGGGCGTCCATTCTCTCGCTGCTTGTTGCCAGTAGCTTGGATGGCAACGACGCCGATTCGATGTTTAACACCTTGAAGGCGAAGGTGGATTTGTCAGGCTACTGCTACGCAGCGGAGAGTGCTGGCAGCTGCGCACGCAGAGTGTGGGTGAAGGAATGTGAGCAGTGGGTGCGGGAAGGCGCGCCCGCATCAGTGAATACGGAGGGTGCAACGGATGACCATGATGCGAAGGAGAGACTCATTCTTGCAGACATTCATTTAAAACGTTTACTACACGGCGTCTATGGCACCATAGTTGCTGCAGTTGAGCTGGAGAAGGCGCTTTTACAGGGCGCTGCTGATGGTTCTAAGCATTTCTGCACGCCCAAGTGGGACCTTGAGACACCAGTGCCTATGCAGGCTTGCTCAAATCTCCTGCGTGAGGCGGCGACTGTGCTAAAGATCCAGGATATCGGTGAGGTGCCGGCTAACACATGTGAAAAAAGTGGTAAGCACGGTGATGTTGACGCAGCAGCACAGATGTGCGTCACTGCCTCGCTCTTGGTGCAGCATATTTCCTTGCAGTATGTGAATAGTAAAGTGCAACAGTGGAGGGAGGAGGCGTGGCGACGGTTACAAGCTGCGTGGCCTGTGAGCAGCGAGGACGCGCGTATGGAGGCGTTCTTTAATGCCCTAATGCAACGGGCAAGCAAGCATGCTGAGACACATTTGCGCGTCAGTGAGAACCTGTACGAGCAGTACACCTCGGACGTTTTGCTCGTCATGCCAAATAGGGAGTTTCAGGCCTTGTGCTGCAAGGCGTTGTCCGCAGTGGGGGACCCCAGTGGCAGCATCTTCACCTCAGAAGACCTCCCCGCGTTTTTGCGCTACATCTTGGGCTACACATATGTGTTAATTTCGTTTGGGGTGCCACACAATGGCCGCGTTTGTGATGCGGTGGCGCCAACGTGGGAAGAACTGGAGGTGTGGGTGCGGCGTGAGACCGGGGCCGCCATGGATGGGGCTGTGAGGGCGGTCTTCAAGCATCTTGCAAGCCCCAGCGGGAACGGTGTGCCTCTGAAGGAGGTGGCGGTTTGGTTTGCTGGCCGAGCTGCACTCCAAGACACGTCTGGGGTCAGGCTTCGCATTTGGAGGCGCCAGCTGCGCGACATGATCCCGGCCGGGGATACGGCGGGAGACAGGAATAAGCGTCGGGAGACTGCAAACGAAATCCGTGCGGCGAGCGGCTACATTACCCTTAGCGCCCTCGTGGAGCTATGCTCCACCCGCTACCAACTTTGGCGCGTGTGGCCACCGGAGTTAGGAAGCAACTTCGTGGCGTTTAGCTTGCGGGAAACCAACAAGGTGTTGCGGCGCATGGAGTTGCGGGACAGTGCGCTACGCTACACTGACCTCCATTTTTTTCTGCTCTTCGTGCGCTCTTACCTGGACGTCCTTCTTGACGGGGCATGTGTGCTGGAGGTGGAGGAAGGCGATGAAGGAACGAGGTCCAAAGAAGCTCAACATCCATTTGCAGCTAGGCGTATGTTATGGACAGACGATACGATGCGCCCCGCTCTGCAGACGCTTCTGCGAGACAGAAACTTGGACGAGGAGGTACTTTTGCAGGTGGTTCTGGGCTGTGGGACGGCACCGTGCACCACATCCCATGTGGCCCTGACTGTGGCACGTGCGACCGTCGGCGATGCTCTGAAGCGATTTCTCGAAAAGGCTGCGGGAGGCCCTTGGCCAGACTCTCTGTGGGATCGCCTGCGTCAACGACTTCCCAGCGTGGACTCCACAGAGCAGCGGCTGAAACGTCAGGAGCTGTTTGCGCTGATAGACGTGCGGGGGGCGCGGCTGCTCACCCTGTGCGACCTGTACCATGGCATGGTGGAGCAGCTTTCCCTGCACGAGTTTCGTGAGGATTTGCAGCCGATAGTCTTTCGTGCCTTCTCTGCCACGAAGGAGGTGACGTTTTTCGCAGCAGAGCGTTGTCTACCTGACTGACGGCGAGGAACAGTTCATCACGGCGGCGGAGTTCCGCACATTCTTGTGGTACATGTACGCGTACTTTGAGTTATACCACATGTTTGACGCCCTCTGCAAGTACAACGAGGACCCAGTGAAGAAGTCGGTCTCGTTGGAGGCATTTGTGGCTGCCGCGCCGTTGCTGGAGCTTTGGGGCTGCCATTTCGCAGACCCGGCGGCGGAGTTCAGGCGGATCAACAGGCGATGTAAAGAGGGCAGCGCAATGTACTTCACCGACTTTGCCGTCTGGGCGTCGCAGCACCACCTGTCCCCGGCAGGACACTCTCACGAAGAGGCGACGGAGGAAGAGTAGGAGGCGGCGTGGAGTCAGCGGCGTAACTGAGGGCGGTGGTGGAGACTGTGAAGGAGGAAAAGTACTGGCACCGCTCCCTCACTCTTCACACACACACACCGCAGCCGAATGCACCAATGTGTATGACTTTTATTATCTTTATTTCAGCCCTTCAGGGACTCTGTCCGACTTTGCAGCCCTCTCCGTTGCCTCATGTGAGTGCATGTACAAACGAGTTGCACTTCTTCCCTCCTTTGTTCTTTGTCTGTTTAGTTGAATTCTTTTTTTTTCTTTATTCCCACTTTTTGAATTTTTTTTTTTTTGTACGTTTGTCTTTTCCTTTGCTTCCCCTCCTCTGATGTCATTCTTTAGAGACAGGGGCTGGGCACCGCGTGCACCGTATCGGCCAGAACACACGGGAAACGTGAGAGAAAAATAGAAGGAAATAAGAATGAGAGCGAGGGAGTTGGTCTTGGCTATAATTTGTCCAGCATGATGTGGTAACAGATGTGATATGCACATTCAAACACACATGCATGCATGCATACTCCTTGTTCCTCCATTTTCTCCTGTTGCTGCGTAGCTGGTAGACTGCCTTTCTCAATCACTTCTTCCTTTGACGTTTTTCTTTGCACGCATGTATGTAAGTCACATGCTCCCGTCACCGGAGCCGTGGGTGTGTCTACGTGTCATGAGAGTTTGTGTCCCCCACGCGACCCCGCACTTCTCTTGGCGTCCGCGGTGCATGCAAGTCACTCACCGTAGCCGGCGGAAACGTCTTACGGGGTGCTCTCTCTGCCCTGCTATTGGTTGGGGGGCTTGCGTGATGCATCACCGAGACCTGGCCCCGCCTACTTCTAACTGCGTGCGTGTGTGCGACGTCGCGCTTTTCTCGCGACTGGCTCGATGTTTACGCCTCTCTGCCGCTTTTTTTTTCCCTTTCTTCCCTCCCTCTCGACTCCACTTCCCCTTTTTGTTTTGTATTTCTTTTTATTTTTGTTTGGCGTCTGAACAGTGAGGAGTGAAGGAAGGACAATAAAGAGCAAAGGATAGCGGTGCGGCTGTGGTGGCGACGATGGTGGGTCTGTCCTCGTTTGGGGGCTTCTGCTCACCATCATGTGAGTCTCTGCCTCCCTCTTCGAGGGAGTCCCGTGTAGGAACAGCGGGCGCAGCGACAACGCGGCGTTTACGCGTCGCGCCGGTGTCCCCGCCCACACGGCGTTGCAACACAGCGGGAGGCGCCGGTGGCCCCTCAAGAGCATTCAAGGGCTTTGTGGCGATGCCGCCGTCGCTGCCCATGAGCGCTGGTGCCGGGGCTAAGGGCTCGCGGTGGTGCGCAGCGCCGAGTGCGCCGGCGTCGTTGGCATTCTGCGCACTGGAGGAGCTGCAGCAACCACCACCGGCTTGCGGCATGTGGGGGAGTGGGAGGCGGGAGAAGGCGGACTACGGGCTACAATTAGCGGGGGGCGAGCCCCGGGTGCGGGACTACGCTCCACGTCACGCCCAACTCTTGTCGCTGGAGCGTGAGCAGCACCGTGTTGCGACGGACCGGCTGCACCAACGGGCGAGGGGGCTCTGGCTGAAGTGGAAGCAGGAGCGAGAGGCTCACGTATCGACCACGCTGCTCCTCTTCAAGACGCAGATAGACTTCTGCATCATGCAGGAAGAGTCCGCGCGACACGCCCTTGTGGCCGCGGAGGCGGAGGATAGTCTCAACTGCATGCAACGTGGCAGGTGTGGGGTAGCGGAGAAGCGCAGATACAAGGCGGTGGACGCGGCAACGCGCACGGCGGTCTTTCCTGCCGACCCCCACGCCAAGCCGCGTTTCCTGTACGCCCACGACAGCGACCTGCTGCGGGCTCTGCAGCGCTCGGAGGCGTACATTGTGCAGCTTGAGCGGCACTTCGAGGAGCTAGGTCAATACCGCATAGATCCAGCGTCCTTTGAGCCTCCCTGCACACACAACAGTACTTGTAGCGAGGCTGCGATTGGTGGCACTGCGCGCGACGGCACCACCTCGTATGCTCCTCTTAGTCCGTACATTCACACCCTTACGTGATGTGCGTTAGTGTGGTGTGGTCCACACGGAAGCGATGCAGCCGATCGGCGCGAGCGCGTATGAGGGCCAAGGGAGAGGGTGGCGAACACGCACCCACGCGGGGATGGGTGGGGGTGGTGGAGGCAAAGGCGTGTTATTGTTGGCGCCGGAGCGTATGCGCAAAGGCGGGGGCGCGAGAAGTTGTATGATGTCGAATTAGTGAACTCTAGATGTATGTATATGTGTGTGTTGGTGTGCGGTCCTGTGGGGGTTTGTTGTGTTATTTTCACATCCTCCTCGCATTTTTCTTTGTTTGTTTGCTTCTGTGTTTGCTGTTTATGTTTGTGTACAAGTGTCCACCGACTTTCTGATGCATCACCGCCACATGTCCGGCCTTTTTTTCCCCTTTAATATTTACTTTTTTTTTTTGTTTTCGCTTTTGTTTTCATAGCTGGTGTTGCCGCTGCTCCCGTGCTGTGGCATCCCATTTGCTTATTTTGCCTATTTTTCTCCTTGATGCTACTGCCGTTCCCGGGGCCCGTGGGATGCGCCGCGCCTGCAAATCACGGCGTGCGATTCCCCCCCCCCCCCCCCTTTCCCTCTCTCTCACACATACACACACAAATGCATTTTTTTGTTTCTCTCTGTCTCTGTTTCTCCGTGTCGCCGCCGGGGGCGAGAAGAAGCGAAAGGGGAGCCCCCACACGCACACCGGCCGTCGCACCGTGTCGCTGGAGCGGACGACACGCACGCACGAAAGGGGGGAAAAAAGTGAACGTTTGAACGGGTTGACGCAAAGGAGTGAGAAACAGTAGGCAAATAAAAACAAAATTAATAACATAAACGGAAACAACAACAACACGAATAACACACCCACCCACCCACCCACACCCACACACACATACATACACACACGAGGCTCTCATCCCACACACGCGCACGCAGAGAGAGGCACGGCGCAGGCAGTAGGGCGGCGACAGGATGAAAGTCAAGAAGAAGGACCTCCGCAAGGGGGAAGCGCAGCTGCCCATCAACTACCCTCAACCGGAGGTGGCGGACGGGGTCGCCATTGACCACACCACCGACTTCGACGCGGAGAAGACGCGGGTGGAGGCGCTTTGCAAGCGGCTGGCCCACAACGAGGTTGCCGTGCGAGACGCGGTGTTGGCCGAGCTGCCACGCTACATTCAAGGCGTGACGCGGCGCCTCGTGGGAATAGAGGCGGACGTGGACGTGGCTGCGTTGCGTCGCTTTATCACCATGCGGGGCGGGGACCACACGCACGGCGATGACGCGGACGGAGAGACGCGAACGGTCGTCAATGTGCTCCGCGAGCTTGAGACGTACCGTGACCACGTGGGGAACGTACGACGCGAGCAGCGACGTCAGGCAGATCTTCAGTGTGTGCAGCAGCAGCGGCAGCCGACGGCGGGTGACGGGGATGTGGAGGGTAATAAAAGCCACGGTAATGATAATCAACGCAGCGGCGCGGAAGAGGTGGGTGAGGCACGTTTGAGTGTTGCCGCAGCGGCAGAGCCCGTCTCCAGGGACGCGGGGCGCAAGAGTTTGCGGCAGATCTACGGGGAGTGGATCTCAGTATGGTGCGAAGTGGAGCTGCTGCTGCTGAAGCTCTCCCGAGGCGTCTTCTTTTGTCTCTGGCACTCCGACAAGCCGTTGGTGCAGCTGGAGTGTGCCCAGCGCATCGCCCGCCTCATTCACGCCCCACACACTAACAGCGGGAAGATTCTGCTCTTCAGCTGCCTCATGCGGGTGCTCGTGCGGGAGTGGCGCTCCATGGACCGCTACCGCGCCGACAAGTTCCTTGCGCTGGTGCGCAAAATGATATACGAGCTGGCCTGCCTGCTAAAGTCACTGGAGGCGGAGACCCGCTCGCAGCAGCGTGGCGTTGGAGGTGGCGAGGAGAGAGAGACACGCACCCCCAGCGGCAAGGCAGACCGCGCTGCACCGGTACGAAAGCGCGCATCCATGACTGGTGGAATGAAGCGGCGACGCGGCGAGGGCTACGACACGGATGTCTTGACGCACGACCCGCTCTGCCGCGCCCTCCACGAGGCGTGCTACGTGTTTCAGGGGCAGATTGTGCCGGAGCCCACCGCCGTGGGCCTCACCATGCACGTCTGCGACGTCCTCTTTGACGAGCTGTGCCGAGCGGCGCTCTCCCCCGTGCTCTTCCTCGCCCTCAGCGACCGCATCGCGCTCTACGCGATGAGTCAGGGCAACTACGTGGAGAAGCGGGTGCTGGACTACTTCATCGCCCCCATTGCCGGAGGCCTGCTGGCCAGCCGCAGGCAGGAGCATCAGCAAGAGCGCCGTGGTCTAACTGCGTCCACCGGAGCCGCAGCGAAGCGGAGGCGACCCCACGATGAGGAAGAGGTGGCAGACAACGACAAGGACAGCAGAGATGCGGGCGCTGGGGATAATACTGCGGCCCATGCTAAGGCTGAGGCTGAGACGCGTGGCATGCTTCTGCAGCTGGCGGACTGCTGCAGGGCATACTCCGTGGCGTGGCGCACGGTGCGTCCGGTGCGTGTGATGTTCACCGAGAGTGAAATGGTGCTGCGGCAGGCTGCAGACCCCGACGCGTACAAGCCGCTGACCGGCGGCGAGCTGCGCCGCCGCATTGAGCAGGAGGTCGCGGATGTGGAAGAGACGCAGCACGCCGTCGTGGAAGAGCGCCGACGGTTGCGCTTGCTGCGGCAGCAGGAGAAAAAACAGATGCCGCAGCGTCTCAGGAAGAGGCATGTGGCCGCTGCCGATGACGGCGACGAGGACGATGGGGACGCAGAGGCGGATGCGACGCGGCAGCAGCTTAACAACAAGATGAAGACAAAGAAGAAGCTGCATTCACGCAACACGAAGAGGAAGAAACATTACACTCTGACAAGGGAGGACCTCTACGGCGAGGAATAGCAGGGAGGCAGCACCAGCCTCTGCATGCACATGCATCCCTTGACTGTTGAGCTTATCCCTTTTTTTCTTTTCTTTTTCTTTTACTTCTGCCGCAGTGTGGGCGGGGTGGTGGCGGCAATGTCGCCTGCGCCGTTCCTCGCACAGTCTCTGCAGACACAAGGACGTAAAGACATATTTGCATCCTCAGTTGTTTGCAGATCTCGTCAGGGAGCCCCATGCAGTCCTTTTTTTTGCTTTTTCCCCCGTTCTGCGAGTCAGTGGCCCTTTGCGCCTGTCTTCCTTTTCTGTTTCTCCCATTTTTTTTTTTTACTACTGAGGTGAGAGGTGCCGTCGTGGGGTTACAGTTTTGCCGGACCCACACCCCTAGCCGTGTTTTTTATGCCTTTACCGTGCCTCTATAACCGTGTGTGTGTGTGTGTGCGTCGGCAGCAGCGCACGAAGGAGCTGTCGCGGGAGCGAGCGAGAAACCCCAAGCAGAGAGACGGCCGGTAGCGGCACATGACAGGGATGGGTGAATGGTGGTGAAGCCGAGACGTAAGATGGCCACACCGGTGTTCGGCACAATAATAACTGACGTGTGCCTGCAGCCCGAGGTACTCGGTGCCAGGGAACTTGTCAAGGCTCTTTACCGACGCATTAAGAACGAGGCGGACGCCGCGGGCGCAGCAGCCGCAGGCGGAAGCCGTGCACTTGCCACCAGCCCCAACGGCAGCACTAACAACGGCGGTGGTGGCGGCGCGGCCTACGGGCCACTCTCAAATGTCGGTTTGCCACTCCCGGTCGCTGGGTCTATTGACTTTGCAACAGGGCGCCGGCTTGTGTGCTTTTGGCCACCGCAGAACCCTCTGCCGATCATTGCCGAGCCGCAGTAGCTGCTTGTTCACATCGTCTTCAAATCCTTAAGCCCCATGCATCAGATGGAAACCGTCGTCCTTGCGTGTTTTTCCGCCTGTGGAGCGTTCCTGGTGTACTCGGACGATGGCTCCCAGCTCATATGGCACGTGCTGTGGGAATTGTGTACCAGTCGTGTGCATCTCTCTAGCATCGCGTCCGTGTCGTGCGTGGGTGTGCTGCGCGCCGCCTCTGCGCGCTCATTGTTCCAATGAGCGAGACTGTCCAACGCACGGGGACACACCTCAAAAGTCTCAGCAGAAGCGTGGGGGCCGTCATTGATTACGCGATGCGGGGAACCGCCTGCGGGGGCACCGACCTCCTCCGGTAGTAGGACCGCATGCGCAAAATTGGTGGCGGGGCGCGGGAGGAAATTGTGTTTTGCCGCGTTTCAACCTCTCACGAGGAGTTTGCATCGAAGCGAATGCGGCGTGAGACGGAGAAGTTGGCGCTGAGCGACGACCACCGCGCCGTGCGATTCGTGTCGCTTCAGAACAACCACATTATTGAGTACTTTGCAATGCGTCTGCTGCTGAACCGCACGACGATAGAAATTGTCATTGTCATTGTACGAGGGGGGGATCTTGCGGGCTTCATTCGGCGGCTCACCGGGGACCGCCTTGACAAGAGCCTCATCTCGAAGAGCAGCAGGTTCGTACCCTTGGCGTCGCCGTGAGCAATGGGTGGATTGCGTTCATGCAGAAACACCACTGCATTGACGAGCTGAAGCGCAAGAAAGAAGGGCTAGGGGCTGGTGCTCTCCGACTCTGACACATGCTAGGAGTTAAGTCCCCGCAGAGGCCCGGCGCGGCCTCATGGGGGGCGCCAGAGGCGTTGCACAAAGGGGGTGCTTCTGCCCGCCTCGGACCTGTAGGCAGTGGGCCTCGCGGTCTACGTGCTGGCCGCACTTCCCGACTCCCCGATGATACGTAACCGCAACACCGACAAGCTTGAGCTTCTTAACGCGATGGTGTGGGAGGAATATGAGGTGGCGTTATCGTAGTCGGCGATGGGCCCCGCTGTGGTGGAGGCGCGCCATAGCTCATCTGTGCTTTGTGCCCCTCATACGCTCTTGGCACCGGGCGCGTCCTCCGAAGTGTGTGCGTCGGCGTGCTCTGATGACGGGCAGTGCCCCAGCACAGGTGTCTGCGTCACATGCCAGTCGCCGCGGTGAGCGTAGTGAAGGCACAGGCAAGCGCGGCCCCTGTGGCAGGGAGGATGCGGTTGACAGAGTGCGTGGGGATGAACGTGGTCGAGCGGGGATATCCCCTGACACTTGCACGGCTAACGGTGCTGTTGCTGTCGCCGGACTCTGCGCAGCGGCCAATCGCCAGGGCGGACAGCGAGGCACCCATGAAGGTGATGGCGAAGCTGCTGATTTTGGCAAATTGTCCAGGCTCGAGCAAAATGAGGAAGGTGAGGAAAACGGACCCGCATCAGAAGCAACCCGGCACTCTCGCTTCTTAAAGGCGAGGACATCAGACATGAGCACGCAGCGGCGGGAGGGAGCGGAAGAGCTGCCGGCGGTGTCGACGTCTGTTGAGATGAGAACTCGATCATAAAGCGGAGCCGTACAAAAAGTGAAGCTGCGCCACACTTCTTGCTTTTATTACTATTAGATCCCTCGACCGGCCACTATTTTTTTTTTTTTTGAAAGATAACAAAACACACATATATGTATACATACGTTCTTTGCTCCAGCTGCTTCTTTGCCATGATTTCATCTTATCTGGCTACCACTGCGTTTGCTCACGCAATTGTCTCTGTATGCCACCCGCCCCTTGCACAGCCATTTCCGTGGTGGTCTGTTTTTTGTATTTCTCTCTGTTGTGTGCGTCTGGTGTGGGCCGCCTCGCCCCCAAGGGCCTTAAAGTTGGTGTGCCTGCACAGCCGCTGACGACACCGACGCGTTACTCCAATGCTATTTTTGTACTTTTTCCTTTCTTTCCCCCTTTCTACTGTCACCACGACGTTGCGGTTGCTGTGTCGCTGACTGTGGCGGCCGTGGTGTGAAACAGAGGAAGATGTGTGTGTGTGTGTGTGGCTGCGGTGAGGTGGCGGGGTGTCCCCTTCTCTCTTCTGCAGCGTGCCCCCATGCCCACTTGCCTTGACAGGCGCTTGTTGCATCCTGCAGGCGCCTTGTTAACTTGTGACACGTGTGTCTGTTCTTTTTTTTTTCTTGTACTTTGTGTTTGCGTGGTGCTTTTCGGGGAGGTCTATTTTTTAGTTGCAACACAATCAACAACAGGCAAACAAGTACCACCAGCTTTTTTTTTATTTGCGTCAACTTGGTGTACAACAGGCAAACAAGTACCACCAACTTTTTTTTATTTGCGTCAACTTGGTGTACAACAGGCAAACAAACAAACACACAAATAAACCAACAAACAAACAAAGGAGAAAAAAAAAGAGGAAAACAATAAGAAAACAGAAAAAAATTTTTTTTTTTTCATTTTTGGAACGTAACAGTGTGAAAGTCAGAGAAAAAACGAGTTATGAATTACGGTTGTGCTTCACAGCAAACAATGCCGCAGTGGGGGAGCGACGGGTCATGTCCGGCAGTAAGGTGCATCCAAGGGAAACTTGGGGGGGCATCCTGCGCGGCTGACCGCCCCCCTCGAAGACGCATGCCCCTGCTGCCGCTCGCTGTTGTGTTGTTTTTTTTCTCCACTGCGATACCTGTGGGGCACGCCATTCCGTTTCGCTTGCATGGCGGGAGGATTAGCAACTCGGTCACTGTTGGTCGTGC